TCTACATGCTGTTTTTATCCATAACTGATGCTATGTAAGTATAGCCAGCTTTACTATTAAACTCTACCAAATAAGAATGCATAGGAAAAAGGATAGTACACGTACATTAATATTATTACAATAATATCTTCCCGCAAAATACTTAATTGGCTCCAAACAAAATTTATAAAATTATCATTTAGGTCATACAAAGCCATAAAGAAGTTATTGTATGGAAATAACAATGAGAAAATATTTTATGATTTTTATCATACAGATTAAGGGTCAGCAAACTTTTTCTGTAAAGGGTCAGATATTTAATATTTTAGCTTTTGCAGGCCACATACGGTCTCTGTCATGTAGTCAGTTAAAAATATAAAAAACCTTCTTAGCTTGAGGTCGGTACATAAACAGGTGGCAGGCTGGATTTATTTACCCACAGGCCATAACTTACTGATCCCTGATATAGATTACTAATAGCCATAACTGTACTACAAAAATGCTAGCAGAGTTATTCAAAAAGTTCAAATCTTATATTTTTACAATCACGAAAACAGGTCCTCCCCAAATAAAAGTCCTGTTCCTGTTTGGCATCACCCATACCAAAGCCAAAGGCACACCTCAGAACTCAGTTATCATCAGTGTGAAGAGGAGTAACTTTCCCTTTTCTCCCTCCTGATTACCCACTCAAATCCACTTACTCCTCAAGAATGAGGTCCTGAGCCTTCCTCATGACTAACATGCCATAGCCATTTCTCCCTTTTCTAACTCCTTTACATTTACTCTATTAAGCATTTACACCACTCTGCACCCTGTTGATGACAGAGTCCTTCACAAAAGTAAGATACTCATAGTAAATAATTTAGAACCTCATTATATATTGTTATACTAAATTTCTTATGTGTGAGTTTAAAGTTACTTTTTAAGTAGAATGCAAGGTCCTTATGGCCAAAGACTGTGACTTCGTTTGTTTTTTTCTCCCTTCCTTCCCTTCTTTCCTCCCTCCCCCCTTCTCTCTTTCCTTCCTTCTTCCCCCCCGCTTCCTTCCTTCTTTCCTTCCTTGCTTCCTATAGATTGTCTAGATAAGGTGCTATATTAGTTTCAAGGATAGGGAGATTATGTTCAATCAGGGGTTGGAGATTTAGTCAGAGAATGTTCTATGGAAAAGAGGGCATTTGAGTTCATCCTTGAAGAACATGCAGAAATGGTAAGGAAGGAAATTTAAGGAAAAGGAACTGTATGATTAATGATACAAAGAAAAGCCAGTGTGAGATGTGTAAAGAACTGCTCATTTTTGCCAGACTGGAGGACACAGAGGAGAATGGTGGGAAACCACAGCATGGAAGACCACAAGCGCCAAGAAGCTAAGGAGTTTGGACTAGATTCTATTAGCACCGGGGAACAACCAAAGGTTTGGGGGCAGAGGGTTTACTTGATTTGAGCTGGGCTTCAGGAAGATTAACTTGATATGGTGGGTATAATGGAAAGCTTGAACTCGAGAAAAGACAGAAAGCATGGAAATGGAGGATGCATCTAAAGTGACAGACCGTAGACTCAATAGTGCTTTAGGGTAGATTAGATTAGATTGTGAGGCACAAAGAAGAGGAAGGAGGAAAAAATGTCAGTGACATTTTGATACCTGGCGATGGGGAGGATGATGCTGTCATTAATAGAAATAATGAACAGAGAAGGAGAAAGTGTGACGTAGATTATGGATTGAAATTCTTTCAGGCTAGAGTGTCTATTGTAGAGTAAGTTTTTAATAACAGTGGTTTACTGATCTATAGTTGTACTGCTGAAGATAATATTGCCTTGGTTTTCTCACAGACGATGATACTAGAACTTAGAATGTCATGCTTAATTGTACATTTTAATTGTAAATAAAATTACAATTTATGTTCTTAATAGAGCAAAGCATAAATTACCTGGGACTCTCTCTGCATTGCAAGGGTTGAGAGGGGGAGATAAATTTTAAGAAGATGAGATGAGAAAGCTGAGTCTCTGAGAGACTGAGAACTTCATTGTTGATGTCTCATATCTAGTTAGTGGCAGAATGAAGACTACCACCAATTCTCCTGATGGCCAGTAGCATATTTAGTTTCTTATTTTAAGGGAGAAGGCAAAATGCAAGGCCTGAAAAGCTCAGGTGTGGTAACGATTCTATGCTGTACTTCAAGTGTTTTGGTGAGTACTTGTTGGAGGAGGAAGGATATAGTCCTTTGCCTACCATTTGTGATTTATAAGATATAGCATTCTGTTTAAAATGAAATAAAAACATTTGTCAAGTAAATGTTTACTGATGCCCCTGTTTTTTTAACTTATTTCCTTTCATTATATAACTAATATTTTTACTTCATAAAAATTAAAACAATTCAGTAATATAATTCACTATATCCACCTAATCCTAGTTTTCTCTTAGAGGTAACCATGGTTAATGGTGGATGAAGGTCCTTTCAGAGTTCACTTAAGCAAACATAAACTCTCTGCCTCTCCATGTCCACTTCCAGAACTGTCCCATAAAAACCTCCCACTCTCCCCCTGACTGTCAGCTGGATATTGATGCTCAAGGCAATATTAAAACCCATACTGTTGAAGAGTCTATCAGTCTGGGTCCCTGAATAACTATGTGGAGCAGAGCCCTCCTATAGACTGGATGTTATGTGAGCAAGAAATAAATTTCTATTATGTTAAGCCAGTAAAACCTTAGGGCTTATTTGTTTCAGCAGCTATCATAACCTTATTTAGAACAGAGGATCTCTCTGTTGTGCCTGGAGTGAATTGGATATTGTTGGACCATTTTCTGGATTATATGATGCTATAAGAGAAGTCTGAAGACAATCAGATTTGTCCTCCCTGGCTTGTGACTTGCTTATTATACTTACTTAAAGTCAGCCACCCCAGAAATGATTATGTTCTTGACAATGCTTTTATCAACATGTTAATCATAAGAATACAGAATAAGTCCTTCAAAATCGGCTGTAGCATATAAAACACGTAGAATGTCTTTTTAAAGGAGAGATAAAGAGCTATCCTAAAACGAAAAGCCTATGTTCCCCCGTTCTGGAATTTCTTCTTTCCATCCCTGAAAATGCAAATCAGACCAGCTCCCAGTATATAGACACATTTGTACGAAGGCAACATGGATATCGCCCAGATAAACCAGCTCTGTTAATGTGATTGCACGTCCTTTATATATATATTGGGGATATATGTACCCTTGCCAATCTTTAAAATCAAGTCATTTCTGATTTCATCCATGTATTTTAGTAGACAGTGAAATTCAAAATCTTACAGAGAAATAAACCATTCTTTTTACAGATCTAAAGAATTTCAGTGGTTGAGGAAATTTTAAGCCAGATCCATTGCAGCTTAAATCCAATTTTTTTTCTTGGAGTAGAGCATATTATTGAGAACAAACACAATTCAAAACAGTTCTTTAAGTATTCTGTTTTGTACAGAGTTCAAGATGTATAGAATCTAAAAGCTTCTGCTGAAAAATCATGTAGTCACTCTTCTTGCCTCAGGATAAAGTACAAGCTCCTGAACATAATTTATACACTCTTGTTCAGGCTGTTTACCTCCCCTCTATGTTCCTGTCACTAAGCATCTTGCTTTCTATGCACCAGCCACTCTGGATTCCTTTCAGCTTCTCCAGTGTGCTGTGCTCTCTTTACCTACAGCCTTTGCACACACAGTTCCCGCTGCCGAGTACTCACCTCCTCCCTGCCAGCTCTTTTACCTTAGCTTACTTTTGCTCAGTCTTCAGGTCTCCACTTAGATGTCATTTTTTGCACTTAGCCTATCCTGACTGCTCCTCAAGGCCAGGTTAGGTGAGTTTCCTGTCTGCCATCAATAATTTGTTCTTTATCAGAAGACTTCCCACATTATATTATAACTGAAGTTCAGTGGTCGGTGTCTTTCTTTAGATGGCAGATCTGGAATTGTCTCATTCCCCAGGATCACTTGGGCCAAAAGAACTGAAGTGGTGAAAGAGTCGGGCATGGGCATGGTTTCCTTTTGTACAGTAAATAACCATACTCAGTGACCAAATTCATGACCCTGAACTCACTACTCGTAAGCTTTGACTAACTGAAATAGGGTCATAGAGACCGACTCTGTAAGATGATCGAAAAGGATATAAACACAATTCAGAAAATAAATAAACCTCTCTCTGATTGGATAATTTAAGCTTGCAAAATCTGTTCCTTCTAATCTGGAGATGCAGGAAAAACAATCTAGCAGCAGCAGCAGCAGACCAGACCCTGCTCCTCTACTGAACCATCACTGCTCAGCAGCACACCCATTGATTTGGGAATTCCTCTTTGAACTAACATTTGATTTACTTCAGAGTGTTTCTGAGCTTCTACACTTTGCCCTGTCTCAAAGTTGTTCTTGATATTAATCTCTCTGCCCCTCATCTTGAATGTGGTCTTGTATTTCTAATCATGATCTTCCACTGTCACCTTCTTGCCTCAAGCTTCACTTTTGCCTTATTAGGGTCAGTGTCAAACCAACCTGTTCTCCACATTCCCAGGTCTCAGACCTCTGCTGCTGCCATGCCCACTGCCATTATCAATGCTCCTGGCTGACTCAAGGCCTCAGGACTTGCCTCTCAAATACCAGGGCTCCCAGGAGGATTTAGGGTGTCAAAGTATGGGAGTAGGCCCTGTGGGGAGAGGCAATGTTTACCTATTACTATTTCTCTGGCATTCGTGGGTGTAGCAGAACTAGAGAGACTTTAAGAAAATGGCAGCATGGCAGTTGGGATTTTTCTAAGGCCACAGACTGATATAGAAATAGAGCAACGCTCAGCTTCACACCCCAGCACCCTCGGTTCACCAGTGCATTCTCCTTTATAGGACTGGACAAAGAAGGTTTTTGCAAGGGGTGTTTGCTGGGGTCAGCCTACCACGAAGTACTGTTGAGAGTAGAGGGACAGTAGAGGGAATTTTGGTGCTTTTGGTTGATTTACACTGGTATTCCACGTGCAAATGCCCAGCGATCCACAGCTGCTGCCTCACCTTGTGTGACTGATAATACTGGAAGGCACCGATGCCACCTTGTTCCTCCGCAGTCCAGAGCACCAAACGCAGCGTCCTCTTTGGACGTAGCCCTGGGAAAAATAATAAAACAAAAGAAGTGATTCTTCAGTTGATTTTAAATTTTTTAAAAATGGCAAGGCCCCTCATCTGCATTCTGGAGGCAGGAGGGAATCAGAGGCACATGTATTCATCTCTTGCTGGTGTGGCTGCCTGATTCAGAGTGTGGCTGACACAGCAAAGGAGAAACCTCAGGGCTGATCTCCAGGGCAGGTTAATGGAGAAAGGGGTTGTGCAAATGCTGTCTGAAGGCAAGGAAGTGAGAGCCTCTAAGCATATCCTTAACTGGGCAACATGCCCAGCAGGACCCAATGGATGGCCAAGTTCAGGGGGATGTTAGATCACACACAGAAGATACAGTTGGGAGGACTTTAGGCAGATCATGGGGCCTTCTGATGATTAACTAAAACCCAATCATTTGGCTCTACTTCAAGATAAGGTGTGTAGGGGATTGCTTCTTAGTCTAAATCCACAAGTTCAGCAAGCTGTCCGTGAAGTAATGTAATGTAATGTAATGACTGGGAAGCAGACGCAACGTTTATGTTTATGTTTACCCATGGTCATTTTCCTCTCCTACTTGGAAATGTAAGGTCATTCACTTAAGGTCAAGGAAAATTAAATGAATGAGGATGACATTTTATTCATCTTATTACTGCACAAACAGCTTGGTGGCAATTTCATTGACTTGGGAAATACAACTTTGTATCTTGGAGTTATTAAACTTACTGGCAGACCTGGCATATCCAGAACCTTTTTATTTTTGGTAAGGAAGATTAGCCCTGAGCTAACAATTGTTGCCAATCCTCTTCTTTTTGCTGAGGAAGATTGGACCTGGGCTAATATCTGTGCCCATCTCCCTCTACTTTATATGTGGGACACCTGCCACAGCATGGCTTGATAAGTGGTGCGTCGGTCCGAGCCCGGGATCTGAACCTGCGAACCCCGGGCCGCTGAAGCGGAGCGTGTGAACTTAACCACTACGCCACTGGGCCAGCCCCTCCAGAACCATTTTTGAGTGACTATGTCTACTCAGTAAAAGTTAACTACGAGAAAGCTCTGTTTCCCAAACTTAAAAAAATGGGAACACAATACACTAAAAGTCCCACTTTGTGACCAAGAAGTAAACCTGTTCTGATTTGGACCTCATAATGTTGTTTCAGAGAAATAACACTGGCAGAAAAGCTGAAGCTGGGCTTAAATCTTATTAAGAGGACCCAGCCTCCTGCCTTACCATAGTGGAGCCACAGCGAAGGACTTTGAGTGCCTCTGAGACAGACACACTACAAATCTCAAGTATAACCACACAAGTGCTGCCACCCAGGAATGTGGACTTAGAGGGAGCAGGCTAGTCAGCTGCAGCTTGGATGATAAATGCTCCTGGGAAATGGAACTCTGTCCTGCCTCCTCAGGGCACCAACAAGTATTCTCCTTTCATAAGCCTAGTGCTCAGGAGCTGAAAAGGAGCTAAGTTTTTCACTAAATTGAATATTGTTGTGACACCACTTTAATCTTGAGGATTTTAACATAATTAAAAGAGCATAGGTCAAGGACGCAGGCTGACCTGAGTTCTAATTAAAGCCTGGACAAGCAACTTCCACATCCAGTTGCTCTGCAAATTCCACTGATGTTTTCTTTTAAGGCTATCTAGAATCCAGCTTCTCATCTCTGCTACCACTCTGGTCCAAGCCCCTACCTCTTTTGCCTGGATTGTTGCTGTCACCTCCTAACTGGTCTCCCTGCCACAGCTCTCATCCCTCTGCAGATGATGCTCCACACTTCAGCCAGAAGGACTCATGTAAAACTTAAACTAGATCACATCATTTCTCTGTTCAAAACCTCCAGTAGCCAGAATATAAGCTTCTAAAAGGCAGATGTTTATGCTTTTTGATTCACTGTGATGCCTAGACTGTTTGGCACACATTAGGTGCCCAATAAATAGGTACTAAATAAATCCAAAGCTTGGTGTCTTAGAATAAAATTCAAAGCCCTCCACCACTTTTCCAGCCTCATCTCCTAAAATTTTCCAGCTAGCTCACTCCCAGGCATGCTGTTATAGTTCAAAAAAGCAGACGGATCTGGCGAGCCCTGCTAGCCTTAAGCACTAGCTGTGTAAACACTGGGAAATTGATAGACCTGAACATCAGCCTCCTTATCCGAAAAGTGGAGAAAATATCACATGCCTATGCCACACTGTTACATGGGGTGGTTGTGACGATTAAATGAGACGTATGTACGACCATGCTGTGCCTGGCATGTAATAGATATTCAATAAATGAACTATAAACTACATAATGGACAGCCAGGCACAGAGCATACATTTTTACTCCTAGAGCGAAGGGGCATCTAAATACTTAGAGAGGAAGTTATTCCACAGGCATTCAAATACCTGCTGAAAAAGAATCCTGAAGTGCCCACTGCTACTCCAGAGTGAAACCACCTGCTCACGTTCATAGACTGAAACTGCTGTCAGAGGAAGCAATCTAATCAGTATATCCAAAGATCACGATCTTTGGTTTCTCTAAAAGAAATGTGCTTATTAATGTCAGCTTAAATAAATGACATTTTACTTGCAACATAGAAAAAAACAAGAAAGGATAAAGTACTGCAAATGAAAATTCCAAACATTTTTTTACATCAATAAAAAAGGAAAAAAAATACACTTTCTTTTTACATATCTCTGCACCTACCAGAAAACAGTACCAAATTATTAAAATGATGGAATTCTCTAAATAAGAATAAAGGAACAGCTAGCACAAGTTAGAAAAAATTCATTTTTTAAAAGCAAATGCCCTGAATATCTCTATAGATTTAGTGTTCCACTTGAAAATCATTCTTGTGCAGGATTAGTCTCCTCCACATTTCAAATCAGCCAGATGGCCAATGATGTTATATTAAAATAATAAAGAAGTAATCAGTTTGAAGTGTGGAATGCTAAAGCCTCCAAACAATAGCATAGCTGTTGGTGCATGGCTGGCCCTAAAAAGACAAACAGTGCCACCTTCTATCTCTTTTTTTTTTCCCAACTATTTTATTGAGGACATGATAATTTATAACATTGGGTAATTTCAGGTGTACATTACTATTTATCAGTTTCTGTATAGACTGCATCGTGCTCACCGCCAATAGTCTCATTTTTATCCATCACCATATATATGTACCCTTTACCCCTTTCGCCCACCCCCAACCCCCTTCCCCTCTGGTAACCACTAATCTGTTCTCTTTAGCCACATGTTTGTTTATCTTCCACATATGAGTGAAATCATGTGGTGTTTGTCTTTTTCTGTCTGGCTTATTTCGCTTAACATAATACCCTCAAGGTCCATCCACGTTGTTGCAAATGGGATGATTTTGTCTTTTTTTATGGCTGAGTAGTATTCCATTGTATATATATACCACATCTTCTTTATCCATTCATCAGTTGATGGGCACTTGGGTTGCTTCCACATCTTGGCTATTGTGAATAATGCTGCAATGAACATAGGGGTGCATACATCTCTTCGGATTGTTTATTTCACGTTCTTTGGATAAATATTCAGTAGTGGGATAGCTGGATCGTATGGTATTTCTATTTTTTAATTTTTTGTGAAATCTCCATACTGTTTTCCATGGTGGCTGTGCCAGTTTGCATTCCCACCAGTAGTGTATGAGAGTTCCCTCTTTCCACATCCGCTCCAACATTTGTTATTTTTTGACTTGGTCATTATAGCCATTCTAACAGGTGTAAGGTGGCATCTCATTGTAGTTTTGATTTGCATTTCCCTAATAATTAGTGATGTTGAACATCTTTTCATGTGCCCGTTGGCCATCTGTATATCTTCTTTAGAAAAATATCTGTTCATATCTTCTGCCTATTTTTTGATTGGGTTGTTTGTTTTTTTGTTGTTGAGCTGTCTGAGTTCTTTCTTCAAGCTCTTGAGAAGCTCAGTACTGTCAGCATAGAACACCAGTACCTACTCCACATTCAAGGTGAAGGGCCGACAGAAGAGGGTAGAAAACCAGTGGTTAAGCAAACATCTAACTGAGCTTCAAAGTCTCTTTCTGCTCTGACATTCTGAGTGTCCCTAAACCTAAGATAAATGCATGTGACTTCATTCAATGACTAGACCTGACCCTAGTGTGGAGTTTGGGCCCCCAAGCCACTTGAGTCCATAGATCGGTGGTGTGGGGTACAGAAAGGTGTTTGCAGTGGAAGCTGAATAAGCATTGTGTGATTCCCTGCTCTGCCACTTCTGGCTCTGTGACTTTAAGTTAGTTACTTAATCTCTCTGAGGCTCAGTTTCTTTATCTATACAATAAGGAAAATCGTAATTGCCTCATGGGATTGTTAAGAAAATTAAATGAGACAAGGCAAATGTATATCAAGCACAGTCCCTGGCACATAGTAGGTTTTCAACAATTGTTTGTTAGCCTCTCTCTATATCATTCCATACAACTTTTCGGTATGTGCCAATAATCACCAGGGAGATCTTGTGGGAGAACTAGGAAAGAGGTATACTCCTCGTTCCTCTTCCTTAGGAGCCATAGAACATCTTTGTTTATACAGAATGCATACCCAGCCAAGGGAAAAAGGCAAATTTCACCTAACTTGTAGAAGAACACATAACCTCTTTCAGTATGGAATGCTCCCTCATCCCAACAGAGAGCACATCCAAATCCAAATCAATAGAAACAGGCTCCTCACTTTATAGGTGAGGGCCAATCAGAATTTTTCATTTCTGGATAAAGCCCAAAAATCTAATAAATCTGAAAACTGAATAAAACTGATATGATGATATCTATATTTATCATTTTTAAATGATAGAATTTACTGTATATCTCAAATCCAAACTAGATTTAAAAGCTAAGAATTCTAAGGATATAAAATAACAACAGCAACAATAATAAAGCAATAACAACGATAGCAACACAACAAAGCCAGATGAGGTCAAATGTACGGATTTCATTTTGGGGTAGAACTGGGGAAATGAAGAGCTCAGTAGTAGTCCTGGCTCACAGTTCTGGCCCTGGCTTGGTG